TAATGCTTCAAAAGCTGCCATTTCCAATGATCCACAACCAACCAAGGGAAACTCCTGCAAAAATGCCTCCTAAAAGGAACATGACAAGCATATTCCCCAACGCATTCTGCTCAGGTGCCTTCAAAAAACCACAAATATATATATATCAGATTCACAGCAAAATGAAAGGATATTGTTAAGTTATTTGCTATGCAACTGACCTTGTAGCCTTTAGGTGCTGCAGTAAAAACACAAACTGTAAGATGGCCATTGGTCAATCCCAAGAAGGAAGTGAGCATGATCATCCACCCTTGATCACCATACTTTGCTGTGAAGTAAAACGCTGGGATTAGTAGAAAACGACTCAGAATTGAGATCAAGAGGCCCTTCCTCGACTCCAACTTCAGAAATTTGACGAGAGGTGAGTATCTGCCTATCAGATCCCACACATTGTACATTGCTATCAAAACAAGTGGATACCTGACATATCAGCAGCACAAGACACTAAATATGGTGTTGTTCTTCAAGGATTAATATATCTAATTGTGTCAAGAGTGAGTATCTACCATGAACCCAATTGGTGTTCTCCAGTATTTTCATACAAGAAGCCAGGAAATATTGACAATGTGAGAACGTATATCAGTGACACGCCCAAAAGATAATCCATGTTCTGTTGAAGAAGTTGCTTTTTGGTAAGTACTTCAGTTTTGTTTCCCTGTGAAGATTAAAAATAGCTATTAATAAGAATCAGGATTTTCTTTTGGTATTATAATTGAAAAAACATAGCGAAGGATGTCACACTTGGTTTAGTTGAAGCTGGATGCCTGCAGCGGCAAGGTCAGCTGACACGGTTTTCGATCCTTCAGAGGCTGCCTTTTTACGGTAGAACTTCACTAGTGGGATTTTGGGAAAGACTGACGCATAGAGAATAACACAAAGGAACTCGAAAGCAGCAGATATCGCTAGAAATAGAACTGCATAAAACATTAAAGAAGCACGAAGTTATAGTTTGAACTGCACATGTTTAAAGGAACTGATAGCCAAGTACTGGGCTACACAGTTTATAAGCTGAATGTTGAGTGGTTGAATAGAATTGACATACTCGTCCCTTTACGAAGACCATCATGGACGTTCTCAAATGCAGCTTTTGTGATCAATCTCAACCCTGAAGTTAGAGCTCCTGAGGCAGCCAATCCAGCCATGAAAGACTGCCGTGACAAAAGAACAACTTGTAAAATCCAAACTTCATGCCCCTCGCCCAATAAGAATTAAGAGACTGAAAAAGGACCTGGATGAATTCAGGACACATCAAAGCGAGATCTCCAACCATCCCACCTTGCACGAAGGCATCGGCAACACCGAAAGAACCGACGATGATACACAGAGCAATATATGGTCCAATCCCTCCTCTTCCAGAGGAGACCAAATCCAACTATTGCAAAAAGTTCAGAGTCAACTTTAACTCATATGAAATTATGTGTCCATTTCAATTTAGAAAGCAGCGGCTATTACTTACAACTATAAGCAACACAGAACTTATGAAGAAGAGAGTGTATCCACGAATGTTCCTCCATCGGGTATCGATTTTTGCTTCATTATATGCCAGAATTGCAATGGTTCCAAATGCAAATGGTTGATACACGAGAGTGAGTACTCTTGAAGGATGATAATCCTTCAAATTTTCAAAAAAGTAAGGATTATAATTCTTCAACTGAAGTAACTTGAGATAACACGAATCAAAATTTTGAAAAACATGAAAGTCTCAGATCTTCCCACAAGTTTGGAAATCTTCTACTCTATAAAGCTAAAAGGAAACTAATCGATTGACTAAAACCAACAACACAACAAATGAAAGAATCAGTGTTTAAAATACACAAATCAGAGTCATAAGGTTGATTATGATTACCGGAAACAATAGATAATAGTAATCTCCAATAGTTAGCATACTGTTCCAACAAACGAGGGAACCAAAGCCGAGAACCCAGCAAACTGCCAGAGCTGTAAACTTCCCCTGCACAGAAAATTCAAATAAAAATCAAGCAAAAATTTGGCTCTACTAATTACACATAAACATGAGGAACAAAGGGATAAGAACAAACCCCAGTCCTCGCTGGAGCCCCAGATTCTTCAGTAGAACCAGTCATGATAGATCCCTATACCTAAACAACAAAGAAAAGTCTTAAAAAAATAACTGAAGAAAAGAATGTTGATAACTCAGTGAGCAATGGGATTGATGTTCTTATATGCAAAGTATCCTCAGAATCAGGAGAGCGAGCGTGAAGAAACAGCATTGAATACACAGGTTGGTCAACAGGAAAGATGAGCTGTGAAAAGAGAATCCAGCACAAAATGCACGAAATTTTAGCAGAAAATTTATGGAGAGGATTGGTGATTTCCATACCTGGAAATAGTCTTCGCAAGATTGACAACAACCCCGTTTATTATAAATTAGACCAAGAACTTTTAATTTCGTGAGTTTCTACATTCGTAAGAAAACCTGGGGTTTTATTGCAAAACTCAAAGAAAGTAAACAGACGAGAGAGATTCCACAATGAACGCCATATGAATGCAATAACAAATTGTAATCAAATCGGGATTAAATATTAACAAACGTGGGAAATAAATGATAATTTAGTGAACAGAGTGAGAAACCTGGAGAGGCGACACACAGCTTTGCTGGCGAAAGAATCCAAATCCCGTAGTCTGAATGCAAGGAAGAAGAACGTGAAGAATGGGATGCGAACAGAGTGGAAAAGAGTACCCGGAAATCAATAGATTAATGCGTTTGCAGAGTATGAAAAGTAGCGAAGATTTAAGCGACTGATTTTGACATGTGCAAATGGACAGAAGAACAAGAAATCGCGCCGTAAATTGAAGGACGTAATAATATGATTCATGAACGTGTGAACTTTCAAAAATCCAAAATAAATGAAGTTTGTTTGAGATATAATATTATATCTTAGATATTATATTTTTTTTTTTTATGATTTGATTTATAGTATATTTTATTTTATTTTTAATATTTAATTAATTTATATTTTATTTATCGTATCTTAACATTGATATTCTTAAATATCAAAATTTTCTCTGGATAGAGTTTGGTATTAAAGCCAAACGGTGATGCCGAACTCTAACTCAATCAGTGAAGCCTTTACAGCCACCGATCATCCATCGGGATAAGTCCAATACTAAGTTAGGGTTTGACATCTGAGCCAAAGTCAAACCCTAACTCAATCAGTGAAGCATTTACACTCACCAATCATCCATCGTGATAAGTCCAATCGAATATCACAACAACCACAACTTCGTGCTTTCAATAGCTTCCAAGTGATCGCCATTCCTTTTGAATCTCAATCATTCTACTAGACCTCTACTAGATTGAGAACTGTGGTTGGCAAACTGTTCTCGATCGTTCAATATCAAGAATACGTTATAAACATCTTCAAATTTCTCACCAAGCTTAAAAGTGGCATATTCAAGATGTTCGTGTTTTCTTTCACAACCTCTCAAGTGATCCAGAGCTTCGATCTTGGTGTTGTTATCCAACTTCAAAACTTCGGATGTTTATTTAACACTTTTTTATTATATTCATCACTCTGATTAATCAGGATATTCACTCGTTTCAATCAAATTAAATGGAACAAATTACCAATACTAGAGTGAATCATTTATGCATAAATTAAGAAGCAGCTCTTCAAGTTCTGAGATACATCAAAGACGGTCTATTTTTTAGTTTTGCGTCTTTTTGGGAAATTCAATAATTTCTTGAGAAGTCTAAAAATGCAAACCAATCAAAGACGTCAATTTCTGAGTTTGGCATCTTTTTATGAAATTCAATAATTGATTGCGAAGTCTACAAATGCAAACCAATCAAACACTGTTATATTTTTTAGTTTTGTATCTTAAATTCAATAATTTTTTGAAAGTCAACCTAAAACGAACGCGGTCTATTTTTTAGGTTTGCATCTTTTTTTGTAAATTCAATAATTTATTGAAAGTCTAAAAATCAAATCAATGTGTCCCGATCATCAGCAAATACTTGTTTAGACTTAACTTTACAGATATTTTCACTCTCTCCTCAAAAACAAGTTGAGTGTTATTGACCTACACTCTCTATTTACACTATTGGGAAGACAAAAGTGTTATTGACCTACCCTCTATTCTCAAAGACAACTTGGGTGTTATTGACCTACACCCGTAAATACAAGTTGGATGTGATTAACATACACTCTCCACCTTGAGGGGAGTGTTGAGATATAATATTTGAAAAATATATTATTCATAGAATATATCTTAGATATTATATCTTAATATTATTTCTTTTATGATTTGATTTATAGTATATTTCATTTTATTTATAATATTTAATTAGTTTATAATTGATAGTATATTTTATTTTATTTTATTCTCAATAGATATTAGTTGGTAGATGGTATCCTATTTAAGTTCTATTTTTATTTCTCATTTTATTTAAAGCTTATAAATATGAATAAGAATATACTGCCACACAGATTCCCGTCCACAGTGTCGCTATTTTAAATAATGATTAATAATTAATTATTGTTTTGCGTCATTATCCACTTAATGTGAAGGAGTAGAGTGAACTAATGATGAGGGTAGAATTGACTTTTCGACTTGAAAATGTATATTAATTAATATTGAAAAAAAGGTAAGGAAACGACATGACGAATGGTTTCAGGAGATTAATTCACACGTGTGTAGTTCATAGCAGAAAGAGTTCAGGTGCGGGCACTCACACGAGAGGTTGATCAAGTGATGTGGAATGAGTGCGAAACACGTGGATGGTGGGGCCGAGTGCCAGGTCATGGTGGGACTGGAGGACGTCCCTTGAATTTCTAAATGATGATTGGTGGGGCGGCAGTAGCATAGCCATTGGTGGATAGTCCACCAGGTCACAGATTACAATTAGTCGAGAGGGGGCGTGGGCTCCACTCGAACCCAGGACGGTGAAGAAGAAATAAATTAAAAGGCTATGTGGAAATAATTGAGCGCTGAAGTGGAGTCCAGCAGCGTCCGCCTCCTCCTTCATTCTCGATTGAGTTCAACGTCAAGCGTTCGAACAATTCCCTTCGTAGTTTCGGTAATTTAATTTTTTATTTTTTATTTCTCTTAATTGATTCAGAACTGTTCTAGGATTGCAGTTCTGGTTCTTCTTCAAGCTTGAAAATGGCGTCGATTCATCTGTCGGAACTTGACTCCAACGCCACCGACTCAGGTGCATCGTCGCCGAGATTCGACCACCACTTTCGCGATCCACATGCTCGAGTTCGATTCATGTGCAGTTTCGGTGGCAATATCTTACCCCGGCCGCATGATAATCAGCTCCGATACGTTGGCGGTGAGACTCGCATTGTCGCCGTTCAACGTTCCACTACTTTCTCCTATTTCCTCGCCAAACTCGCTAAGATCACCGGCAAGTTTAACTTCGATTCTCTGTTTTTTCATTCAATTTGGGATTTGGAACTCTTGATTCGAAAAGCGAATTGAATTTGTTTGTTTAGGGACAATTAACATGAACATAAAGTACCAGCTTCCGAATGAAGATCTCGACGCCTTGATTTCAGTGTCGACGGATGAAGATGTGGAGAATATGATGGATGAGTATGATCGGCTTGTACAGAATCATGATCCAAAATCGGATAGGCTGCGATTGTTTCTATTTCCGAGAGGGGAAGATTCCAGAGCCAGTAGTATTAATTCTCTCCTCGGCGGCTCCACAAATCGGGATCACTGGTTTCTTGACGCTCTCAACGGCGGCGCTCCAGTGCCGGAGCTCGAGCGTGGTCGGTCGGAGGTTTATTCCATCGTCTCTGAAGTACCGGACTATTTGTTCGGTCTCGACAATCAGGAAGATGCTTCGACTCAATCACGAGAACCTAAATTGAAGAGTCGATTTAATATCAATCCGTCTGAGAATGTTTCGGCTTCGAATCCTGAATCGCCATCCCCTTTCGTACCATCGGCGACTTGTGTGACTTCGATGCCCAGTCTTGCACCGGTTAAAACTCGGCCCGATACGCCGTCACCGAGGGCAGAGGCGGTGGATAAAACGCCGGAGAATTGTGAACCGCCGGCGATGCCGTTCTCTCAACCGACCGGGTTTCCGAATAACCCGATGATGCATTATTTCCCGGGTTCAAATTATCCGGGTCATCAACCGGTCGTCTACCTTCTTCCAGGTCAGATTCCGCCTGGTAATGTTCCTGTCCAGCATATTCCGACCCAGCCTCCGTCTCCGTACGTTCAACAGTTCCCTCCGGTGGGTGGGGGTCAGGTGCCATTAGCGTATCATCACCCAGTTACAATGGGGGGGCAAGTGTACGGAGGAGGAATGGGTCCAGTGAGTGGCTACGATCCACAGGCGGAGGCGGCGAGGATCGCCGCCGACGGCGTTAGCCAACAGATGTATTATGGAGTCCAAAATACAGCGAGGGCTCCGCCGTATGCGGGGGCTATGATGGCACCTTTGGCGGCCGAAGAATTTCGAGGAAGTGGATCGGAAACAAGGACCGGTAGCCGAGTATAGCTATAGCAATAGCAGCAGACGGTCGAAAAGGATCAGTTAATTAGATTTGTAATTTTTACAACAAATTAAAAATTTGGGATTTGGTGGTTGATTATGGGTTTTTGATGATTCAACGGCGTGACCAGCCTGTAAAATTGGTGTATTAAAGCTGCAAATACAATATTCTTACTGTACTTTTATAACATAAAATGTACCGGTTAGCTTCTCTAGCTGCTCAAGACTACTGATATTATCGCTTTGAACTTTTCTTCGAGAATTTTAAAATAAGTCTACAATCTATCTGGGCCAAATGTCTTCTCCATTCGGGGCCCAAGTCCACCAATATTGTCTTATTTAGACTTTTCCTCAAAATTTTTAAAACGGGTCTACAATCCAACCCTTTGAGTTCCAGTGTCCTTGCGCACTCGTTTCTCTCTCCAATCGACGTGGAACTCCCTAGTCCACTCCCCTTTGAGACCATCCCCCTTTGAGGCACTCGTTTCTCTCTGCAATCGACGTGGAACTCCCTAGTCCACTCCCCTTTGAGGCCATTGTCCTTGCTGGCATACAATCCACCCACTTCGTGGTTCAGCCTCCTCGCTAACACACCGGCCGATATCTAGCTCTGATACTATTTGTAACGGCCCAAGCCTACTGCTAGTAGATATTGTCCTCTTTGTTAAAACCCGTCCGCTAAGGAAAGGTTTACCCATCCTTATAAGAATATTTTGTTTCCATATTCAACTGAAGTGAGATCTCACAGTGTCATTGCATAGAATGTTTTGATTTTATTGAATTAGGAAGAAATTATCTAAACAGCCAGCACTTGTTGGAAATGATCCACCATCAAAAATACGTAGAAACAAATAACGAAAGTGAAAAAACAATTTAAGGGGAGAGGACTTTTGAATAATAGAACTTAAGCACGTATGCTTATTATTGTGAAAACACATACATCTCATAAGCATTTATAGTACAACGGATCCAAGCAACTCTGACAAATCTTCCTATAACAATTTCCTAAACAATTATCTTACAATAGTTAATAACTTTTTTTTTCCGTAACTCAAGATTATTAACTCACCCCACTCCATACATAAAATTTTGGTATGGTATATACAATTTTAGAAGAGTTCTTGTATCGAAGAAGGAAAAAAAAAGAGAGGAGTCATTTCAACCCCCCAACCTCTAATATCGAGGTTCACAAACCACATCCCATTGCACCAACCGCAGCCCAACCAGTTCTGGAGGGCAACACACCAAAAGTAAAGCAGCAACAGTAGCAGCTCAAATTTCTGAACCCTCATCCCTTGAGGGCAAAGTTGCTGAAACAAGGCAGTGTGCCGTGTACCTTCGGCAATGAATCAGACGAAGAATCCCGAAAGCATGTCCTAGGCAGAGCAACCGACGTCTTGCTACATGCACACATAGACTCAAGAGTGATCATGATTAGCCACATCCTTTAGAATGCCACAGGCTTCAGAAGATTTGGTTGACACAGGATCAGGTGGATTTAGCTCCACAAATCGGCTGGCTTCACCATAACTACCTATACATATTGTGTCCCCTCGACCGTGCCATGTGCCATCTTGGACATTATTCATTTCCAGCGTTCGTGATTCCTGCTCCACATTTACAAGTATTTCAGTGATGACCTACGAATATAAGGTTTTGATGTGCAAAAACTGATAGACAGACCTGAGATAAGGCGCAGCAGGGGCAGATCAGGTGGTAGATGCAATCATCCAAGGAATTATCTCCTCCCTAAATCATAAAATTAATATTAATCTACACATAAGTACCAAGAAATCGCCAGCCGAATATATAATTCGTAACCCAAGCTTGCTCATGTTATCCATATATGTACTCTCTCATTAATCTCTTTTTTCACACACACACTATATGTTATTAGTCTCCCCGTGCACATTATCAATAAACTGTGTCGTAGGAGTCTCCCTCCACACTATTAGTAATATTTCTCATACTAGTTTCTCCCTACACACAATTACACGTTCTAAGATACAAGAAATACTAATAGTCGTTAGAATTTTCATGGATTTCCGTTTGCTACTTATGACTATCAACTCATTTACCCAATCTAATAATAAAAAGGAAGACAATGGAATTATTTTGATTTGAAGTCTTCATATATATATATTTTTTTTTATCAATTCGAGCATAGTTCAATGATCAAACACCTATTGCCATTCGCCAACAAAACCAATATAACTTTGAATTTTTTCTCTTCTTCAAGACCAGCATGCTATTCCAAGAGAAGGGGTGTTAGGATTTGGTCCCTCGATTCTTCTTTTGCATATTTTTTCCTCTCCTTCTCCATCCATTGTTGCCCTTGATTTTTCTTCCCTATAAAGTTATAATTCTAAAAAAGTTAAGGTGGTTTGCATGGCAGATTTTACATGGGAGAGTCATATTATCGTGGATTGCATTCAAAGGCACTCATCCTATGCTTCTCTCAATGGTGCACTCTCTGTAGGAGGCACGAGGAGGACCTGGATCAATGGTTTTGAGTTTGCAAGTTAGCTCACCTCCTTTGGAGCTGTTGGTTGACAGTGTTCGGTACTATTGGGTCTAGAATAGAGATGGTACGGCTCACGTGGAGGAGGTTCTATTGCATCTCCATTCTAAGGATTAAGGTTGTAGCATGCTTGAAATAGAATGTGTTACGAATCCATTAATTATCAAGTAGAAATAAGAAACAGATAACAGCAAAAGGCTGATAGAAAAAAGAAGTCGCACCCTTATATTGAATTTCCTCCTCATCTGGGTTCGGAAGAACCCCAAATATGTAACTGCTGAAATGGTGAAAGCAATGGCTGGATATAAAAAGTAATGGCGTTTTGTGACCAAAAAGGCAATGAAGTTGCACAGAGCACCGAGAGCAAGAGATAAATAAACCGTTCCCTGCAAATGGTTTCAAAATTATGGCAAATTGTATACTATCCATTACGAAAATTTGATGAGCAAAGACAAGTGTAATCTGGACTCTAACTTCTTCCCCTCTCCTTTTAAAGCTTCAAGAAGCCAAGAAAAAGTTTACCTGAAGAAAACAAGAGCCAAAACCAGCCCTTGCCATATTCTTCCCAAATCTGTGACACGGCCAGCTGCATCATTAATACAAGCTATGAGAATACTTGGGGTGAAAACCAATTACTTCGATGTAGAAAAAAAGTCGTACATATAGTAAATATTCCATTCATAGACAATTAACAATCATAATTACAGGTTCGAACTTAAGCAGGGCAAGATACACATCCCCTGTTGCATAATGACAACCAACCACAGGTACTCGGAGACCATGAGGAAAAGTTGTGCACAGAAACTATTGATTTAACTTTTTTAGAATCACAAGGTGAGGCCTGAAAGACATATTCCAACTAATAACAGATAATATCATGGTCAAAACCTTTTTTCTTTTTCTTTTCCAAGCAACCAATCTCCTCGCCCTAAGAGGAAAAAATAACATAAAAAAGGAAAAAAAATCCGTCGATCGGTGGACAAATTTCTCAATGAACAACAGAGAGAGAGAGAGAGAGAGAGAGAAAATCCCTGAAAAAGCTGAAAGTAGAGAAGAAAAAGTGGATTAACAAGTCTAACCATGTGGATTCGATAGCGATACGACGGTCATCGAAGCAATCGAGTAGTTCACCTTCCCACATCCTAAAAACTCCCCCCAAATCGGGTTCCATAGGAGCATCATGAGTAGTCTCCAACTTCGCCCATTTACCCTGCGTCTGCATAGCCACCGTAGAACACAACATATCGAAATCCACTAACGTAACCCCCTCGAGAAGCTTCTCCTCCTCTTCTCCAACAACAACATTCCCAAGCCCCCTATCCTGATTCTCCAAATCCGCCATTAGAACACAAAAAGTAGAAACCTAGGGTTTTATTTGAACAGTGGTAAAGAGAATCAAGGAGGAGGAGGAGGAGAACATAATAATAGAGCGCGTGACTATTTATCGCACAATTTGTTTTTAATCTGTTGGGAAGAAAGTTGTCTTTATACCGTACAGAAAGAGAGATATGAACACTAATATTATCCGTTTTTAAAATGAGGTCAAAATTGGCGGCCAAAAATGTGGGACCCACATGCAGTAACTTTTTTCCTTAAAGAAAATGAACGACCCAGGTGGTGCCACGTAGGAAAATATCAAAATTAAAAAAATAGGAATATTAGTGCTATATACTCGGCAAAATTAACGCCCCCTCTCCCCACTCGAATCTACCGGATTTTTGTTCAAATTTACTAAAATATCTAAAAACCGGTTTTATTTTAGGAAATATATATATATATATATATATATATGTATATGTGGCTGGTGTGACTCACATGGTGGGACCCATTTGTCCCATTTCTGGTGGGTTATGTGTTAGGTCACCTTCTTATCCATATTCCAACTATACAACTGGACGTGCATAATCCAGTGTTTACGGATTTATTTTTTCCTTTAGGTCAACCAACACGTTGACTCCAATCATGTTTTCTTTGGGCCGTTCCAATATTGGGCCGAATCCAGCGCTACGAACGTTCCGTTTATTAAAAATATTTTTTTTTATAATAAACATACAATAATAGTTTTATATAGCAACAACTTAATGTTTGTCTCGGATAAAAGTCCTAGGTCGCTAATTTAAGAAATAATCATGAGTTTATAACGAAGAAATATTATCTCCATTAGGCCTGAGGTCTTTTGGAGAAGCCCAAAATAAAGTTATGACTGTGAGAGTCATGTTCATCTCACTGGAATCAGAACACTGCCCTAAACTTAGCTATGTCAATAGAATCCTCAAATGTGTGGAAGGCATAGTCAAAGAATAATTATCCCAGATGAAAGTCTTCAAATTATTTTATCCAAATTTTACCCTGAAAAACGGAAATGATTAACCATGAATAAGCGAAATTATTGGAGGACACGTAATTTTATTCATAAAAAGAGGTGGTAAGAAGTAATTGGATTAATTAATTAATTAATTTACAATGGGAATTATAGTGACTAAGAGCGAGAGGAAAGTGATAACCAAGGAACCACTTGATTTTCCTTCTCATCGTCACTGTCACTGCCACCGCCAGAGCCGCCATTAGAGCTCCCACGTCCTTCCT